TGGGAATTCCATCCCTTCCAAATTCCCAGTGGGAATTCCTTTAAAATTCCTAGTGGGAATTCTAGCTTTTCAAAATACCCAGTGAGAATTCCATCTGAAATTCCCAATGGAAATTCCATCTCAAATTCCCAGTTGGAATTCCAAGTGTTTCACATTCCCAATGGGAATTCCTTTAAAATTCCCACTGGGGATTCCATCCCTTCCAAATTCCCAATGGGAATTCCAGCCTTTCTAAATTCCCAGTGACAATTCCATCTGAAATTCCTGATGGGAATTCCATCCCAAATTCCCAGTGGCAATTCCATCATTTCCAAATTCCCAATGGGAATTCCAAGCAAATTACCAGTGGGAATTCCATAATTTCCAAATTCCCACTGGGAATTCCATCTCAAATTCCCAGTTGGAATTCCAAATGTTTCACATTCCCAATGGGAATTCCTTTAAAATTCCCACTGGGAATTCCACCCCAAACCCCTCCCCGGGGCTGATCCCAAATTTTCCCTTTCCCCCCTGGGTATTCCCAGCACAAATCCTGGATTTCCCCGTGGGAATCCCATCCCGGGACCCCCTGGGATTCCCCAGAATTCCCGGAATTCCCGGAATTCCCGGATTTCCCTGTCCTTTTGCAGGTGCAGGATCTCCTGGCCGTGCTCCGGGCCAGTTCCAGCTCCGGGATTTCCCTGCAGGAGCCGGAGCATTCCCAGCCCCTCCCCCCCTCGTCATTCCAGAGGTTCCTGAGATCCCGGGACATCCCCGGGGTGGTGCTGAGCGACCACCAGGTGGAATTCCAGAACAGGTGAAGGGAAAAATGGGAATTCTGGGGATTCCAGGGATTCTGGGGATTCCAGAATAGGTAAAAAACCCCCTGGGAATTCCAGGAATTCCAGAACAGGTGAAGGAAAAATGGGAATTCCAGGGATTCTGGGGATTCCAGAACAGGTAAAAAAAAAAACCCTGGGAATTCCAGGAATTCCAGAACAGGTGAAGGGAAAAATGGGAATTCTGGGGATTCCAGGGATTCTGGGGATTCTGGGGATTCCAGAATAGGTAAAAAAAAAAAAACCCTGGGAATTCCAGAATAGGTGAAGGAAAAAGGGGAATTCCAGGAATTCTGGGGATTCCAGGATAGGTGAAAAACCTGGGAATTCTGGGGATTTCACAACAGGTAAAAAAAAAAAAACAAAACTGGGAATTGTGAGGATTCCGGGAATTCTGGGGAATCTGGAATGGGTAAAAAATCCAGGAATTCTGGGAATTCTGGAAGAGGTAAAAAAAAAATCCAGGAATTCCAGAAATTCTGGAACAGGTAAAAAATGGGAATTCCAGGAATTCTGGGAATTCCAGAACAGGTAAAAAGATTGGGAATTTCAGAACAGGTAAAATCTGGGAATTCTAGGAATTCCAGAACAGCAGCAAAATCCAGGAATTTCAGCATTTCCAGCAAAATTTCAGCTTCCGGTGGGAATCCCATCCCAAAAATCTGGGAATTCCAGGATTTCACTCTTCCCATGGGAATCCCATCCCAAAAAAAAACCCGGGGCCGGGTTCCCTTTTCCAACCGAAAATTCCGGGATTTTTTTTTTTTTTTTTTTTTTTGTGATTCCTCCGTTCCCGTGGGAATCCCGAGCCCGAGGGAATTCTGGGAATGCTCGGACGAGCGCGAGGGAATTGCTCGGACAGGCGAGAGGAAAATTCCGGAGTTTTTGGGGTTTTTTTTTTGTTTTTTTGGTTTTTTTTTTAGGATAAAATTCCTGGCCTCGAGCCCTGGAGCCGCAGCTGCGCTTCCAGAGGCTGCTCCCGGAATTTTTCCTGGGATTATTTTTGGGATGTTTCCACAATTCCGGGGGGTTTTTTGTTGGAGTTTGGATTTTTTTTTTTGGGATCACCCCCCCTGACCCCGATCTGGCTTTTCCAGAGGAATTTGGGAATCCTGAAAACGCCAAATCCCAGCTCTGGGATTCCTTTGGGATCATCCTGGATTTCCCAGGGATGTGGGAATTCGAGGTTCTCTTGGAATTCCATTAATGAATAATTGTTAATTGACGAAATCATTGGAATTCCAACCTTTTCCTTGGATCTGTCGGGGAATTTTCCCCTCCCAGCTCATGGAATGGGCTCCGAAATTCCAGCCTGGATAAATCCTGGAATTCCAACTGGAAAAGCTTTGGAATTCCAAATCCCGAACCCTCCTGATTAATCCCGGGAAACCCCTCAGGAAGAACTTTGGAATTCCCCCATCCCTTTCCCACGGGGTTTTTCCCTCCGGGATGGGAATTCCCAGCCTGATCCCGGATTTTTCCCGGATTTTATTCCCAGGTATTACCAGAGCATCTACGACACGGCCGAGAACATCGGGATGAGTTATCCCGAGGGACTGAGCCCCGAGGAGAGGCTGGAATTCGTCACTGACACTGCCAAGGTCCCTCGGAATTCCCGGGATTCCTGGGATTTGGGATCCTGGGGAGTTCCTGGGAGTCGAAATTCCCGGAAATTCCTGAGATTCTGAAGCTGGGATTTGAGATCTGGGAATTCCTGGGAGTGGGGATCCAGGGGAATTCCTGGGGTTTGGGATCCAGGGATTTGGGATCTGAGGATTCCTGCAGTTTGGGATCTGAGAATTCCTGGGATTTGGGATCCAGGATCTGAGGTTTGGGATCCTTTGAGAATTCCTGAGATTGAGGATGCAGGGGATTCCTGGGAGTCAGAATTCCAGGAAATTCCCGGATTCGGGAGCTGGGATTTGGGATCCAGGGATTTGAGATCTGGGAATTCCTGGGAGTGGGGATCCAGGGGTTCAGGATCCAGGGATTCCTGCAGTTTGGGGTCTGGGAATTCCTGGGATTTGGGAGCTAGGATCTGAGGTTTGGGATCCTTTGAGAATTCCTGAGATTGAGGATGCAGGGGATTCCTGGGAGTCAGAATTCCAGGAAATTCCCGGATTCGGGAGCTGGGATTTGGGATCCAGGGATTTGAGATCTGGGAATTCCTGGGAGTGGGGATCCAGGGGTTCAGGATCCAGGGATTCCTGCAGTTTGGGGTCTGGGAATTCCTGGGATTTGGGAGCTAGGATTTGGGATCCAGGAGAATTCCTGGGATTCAGGATCTGGAATTTGGGATCCAGAGATTCCTGGGATTCAGGATCCAGGCGGGAATGGGAATTGGAGGGGAGGGAGAAGGGGGAAAAGTGGGAAGGAGCTGGGAGGGATTTGGGATTGGGAGAGGGAGGGAAAAGCTTGGGAACAGGGCAGGAATAAATCCCGAGGGATTTGGGAATGTGGGAAAAGGGGGAAAACCCGGGAATGAGGCCGGGAAGGATCTGGGAGCGTTGGGATGGGCAGAGCTTGGGGCCGGCCGCTGATCCCAGAATTCCCAGAATTCCCAGAATTCCCAGAATTCCCGAATTTCCCTTTTTCCAGGCGCTGACCGAGGTGGGGACGCTGCTGGCCCGGGCTCTGTTCTCACTGGCCGGGGGAAACGGCAGCACCGAGAGCATCCAGGCAGACAGCAAAACGGTGGGAATTGTGGGAATCCCGGGAATTCTGGGAGTTGTAGGAATTCCGGGAATTCCGGGAATTGTGGGAATTGTAGGAATTCCGGGGTGGGGATCCACCGTTTTCCTGGGGATCTCCCTGGGATCTCTGGTTTTCTTGGAATGCCCGATTTTCCTGGAGTTCCTGGAATTAAAATCCCCCATTTCCCCCGAGTTAGAATTCCCCCATTTACCCCCAAATCCCTGGAATTGGAATCCCCCATTTTCCCTGGAATCCCCAGGGTTGGAATTGCTGGGATTGGAATTCTCAGTTTTCCTGAAATCCCCCCAAATTAGAATCCCTAATTTTCCTGGAATTAGAATCTTCCATTTACCCAAAATCCCTGGAATTAGAATCCCCAATGTCCCTGAAATCCATGGAATTAGAATCCTCAATTTTCCTGGAGTCCCTGGAATTAGAATCCCAAATTTCCCTGAATTCCCTGGAATTAAGAGTCCCCCATTTACCCAAAATCCCTGGTATTGGAATCCCCAATTTCCCTGGAATCCTTGGAATTAGAATTCCCCAATTTCCCTGCAATCCCTGAAATCAGAATCCTCAATTTTCCTGGAATTAGAATTCCCAATTTCCCTGAAATTCTTGTAATCAGAATTCCCGATTTCCCTGCAATCCCTGGAACTGGGATCCCCCCTCCCCTTTCCCCTGGGATCCCTTTTCCCCCTTTTTCCCTGAGGAATTCTGGGATTTTTCCCAGGTCACCCGGCTGCTCTATGGATTCCTGCTCAACTCCAACAATTCCTGGTTCCAGTCCGTGATCAAACCTGACCAGAACGGAATCCTGGGTGAGGCAGTGCCAGAATCCAACATTCCCAATTTTCTGTCCATAATTCCCACTTTTCCTGCTGGAATTCCCACTTTCCTGGCTGTAATTCCTGATTTTCCTGCTGGAATTCCCACTTTCC